TTCCTCTGGGGCACTGATCCAAAATTCAATGCAGAATATCATAGGCAGTTTCATGAAACCTAGACTTTCTCATTTTGAATGAAAGGAAATGGTGACTGACTATAAAGGGTGATATACATATAATCTTTGGTAACCTTATTGCCCTAATTAATTTCCTTCACTTTTTCTATGTGCTCAGTGAACTACTATTCTTCCTAAAGATTATGTAATCATTACATTATGAAGAAAACTTTCCCCAATCTTCTTAATTGGGTAAAATTCACCTTATTATATGCTTTTATAGCATCTCATACCAATGCCTCTGTTGTAGCATTTATGACAATGGCAAGTTTACATTTATTTATTGATCTTTTGTTTAACATCTGTCTCCTCCAAAAGACTACATGCCCTCAGGAACAGGGAGCCTTGTCTTTTCTTTTCTTTTCTTTTCTTTTCTTTTCTTTTCTTTTCTTTTCTTTTCTTTTCTTTTCTTTTCTTTTCTCTCTCTTTCTTTCTCCCTCCCTCCCTCCCTCCCTCCCTCCCTCCCTCCCTCCCTCCCTCCCTCCCTCCCTTCCTTCCTTCCTTCCTTCCTTCCTTCCTTCCTTCCTTCTTTTTTATTGTGAAAACACTTTAAAAAATTATTATTTTTGCGATTTTTATTTATTTATTTTTGTTACATATCTCCTTTTTCTCCCCTAGACACCTTCCTCCCCATCCCCCCCCAGCACTGTTGTCCATGTCCATTGGTTATGCATATGTTCTTATAAGTTCTTTGCTTCATCTTATGCCCCCGCCCCACTCCCTTTCTCTGAGGTTTGTCAGTCTGAACCGTACTCCTTTCTATGTCTCTGGGTATTTTGTTCATCAGCTTATTTTGTTAATTATATTCCATAAATAAGTGAGATCATGTGGTATTTGTCTTTCTCTGATTGGCTTATTTCACTTTGCATAATACTCTCCAGGTCCCTCCATGTCGTCTTAAAGGATAAGAGATCTTTCTTTCTTACCGCTGCATAGTATTCCATTGTGTATTTGTAGAACAGCTTTTTTATCCACTCATCTATTGATGGACACTTGGGCTATTTCCAGATCTTAGCAATTATAAATTGTGCTGCTATGAACATAAGGGTACATATATTCTTTTTGATTGGTGTTTCAGACTTCTTAGGATATATTCCTAGGAGTGGGATCACTGTGTCAAATGACAGTTCAACTTTTAATTTTTTGAGGAAATACCACATTGTTTCCCATAGTGGCTGCACCAGGCTGCATTCCCACCAGCAGTGCACTAGAGTCTTTTCTCCACGCCCTCGCCAGCACTTGTTGTTTGATTATTTGTGGAACCCATTATATGGGAGAACATAATTGCCAATGATACATCAGATAAGGGGTTAATTTCCAAAATATATAGAGTACCTCATACAACTCAACAAAAGGAAGACAAAGAACCCAATTAAAAAATGGGCAGAGGACCTAAAGAGACACCTCTCCAAATAGGACATACAGATGGCCAAGAGACATATGAAAAAATGCTCAACGTCACCATTTGTTTTCTTATTTTATACCTCTTACATTTAGCACAGTGCCTAACCCATATGGGGAGCTCACAATAGGGTTGACTATGGCAATGAGTGGGTGGACATGTATAGTTGAGTGTGGTGTGCGCTTTGCCCATTTGTGATCAGAAGTGAGGGCAAGTGCTCTGGCGGTCCTGGCCAGCGGGGCTGATTTCTTTTCTCACCCTTTTCTTATTTCTTGAAGGTATGGGTTTCCTCTTGGGGATCCATACACGAGGAGAGATTATATAAACTCTTATCTTTGTCTGAGACATATGTTGCATGTAAAATAAAGTGGCTCATTCACATGTCACAGCTCACTACTCTGAATTTGAAGGTGGGAACTATTGAGAATAAAGCTAATTTCATGTGTGGAAGGGTAATGAAGCGGGTCCTTTCCTGGCATATGCGAAATAACTGAACAAGGCATGGCAGTGAGATACAAAAGGACAAGAACTAAGATGTGCTGTGGCTCCTCTGGCACATCCGTGCTGCTCGGAGTCATGTGGCGAGAGCTTTCATTCAGTTCACCCCCTTGGGCTCCGACCGTGAGCACTTAGCACGCGTGATGCAGCACAAAGGGTGTCGGTTATAGAGTCAGCAAGACCTGAATTCGAGATCTGACCAAGCCTTGTATTAATAACTAAAGGCCCCAGGAAGGCTCTTTATTCTCTTCAAATTTCTGTTTCTTCATTTTAAAAATTGAAATAAGAATGCTTACTTTGCACTGATGATTCAAGGAACCAGTACCTCTAATGCACTGAAAACATTGTTTTTACCATTATTTTCAGGATTGCATTAATTTTCAGAAAAAAATAATTCTGAATCAATTGAAACATAAACTAGAAATATTTCCATAGGTATCCTAGAAGTTGTGGTAAACTATGCCAGATAGTAACATGATTAATTGACTGTGGAGTTATATTAAAAAACTAACAAACACACCTGTGACATTCTTAGCCAAATGCCATCTGGGAAAAGATTAGTACCTAAAAATATCAATATGTAAGAAAATACACTTTTTTGTGGACACAAGGGTTTCTTTTTAGGCCAAGTAATAATTGTGATACTTTTGATGGAAAACTGCAGGGAATGAGAACATTGGAGTGTATAAATGCAGTGCCAACAGGAGAGATTGAGAGCTACCCTGGTAAAAGTCCTAAATCAGGATGGGAGGAATCCAGGTTTTCCCTGAAACTTGCTGACAAGGCTGGTGCTGCCCAGGAGCAGAGAGGCACCATCTGATGATCTCCTTGTCTGCCTGTAGGGCCTTGTACTTTGGTTCAGCAAAGACATGGGACCCCTTGGGGATACAAAGGGTTTTGGGTTACTGTTTCTGCTCAGCATGTACACAAGGACCAGAGGGCTTCTTCCAAGGAAAAAATCTGAGGGCTGACCTTATGGAGTTTACAAGTGGAGGCCATTTTGAATAGCAGCATTTGAGAGAGAGAGAGAGAGAGAGAGAGAGAGAGAGAGAGAGAGAGAGAGATATCTCCCAGGCCTCTGTTACAGAGCAAAGTTCTTCCCACCTTAAGCACTTGGTACACTACCTGTGCACTAGACAGCGGGGTGTCTTGAAGAGCAATGACCGTCATGCCTTTAGGTACATTGCTTGAAGTGGGCAAAGCCTGCATTTCGTCTGAAACATGGAATCTACTTCCATAGTAGTGATGGTGCTGGGACTGTCGGACTGAGGCCAAGCATATTTCATGCATTTAAGAGTAATGAGACAGTCCTTTCCTGGCCTATGCAGTGTGTGCCAACAACCGACGAAGCACACTGACTGCTGAGATGAGAGCTGGGATGCAGATGTGTGATAGCTTCTCTGGTCCATTCATTGTGCTTGGAGTTACTGTGGTGCATTTTCTTTCATTGAAGAAAAATGACTCATGCATTGTTTCCTTACTGCTTCGGTTCCTGAGCCAAATTCCCCAGAGGCTCTTCCCATTTTAACTTAGCTGACTCTTAAAAGAAATACAATGTAGTAACAGTAAAATATTACCAGATATTACTATGTTTTATACTTTAATGTTTTATTTTGGTGCTTTTGTTACCTTTGTTCCCACTTTAGGGGTGTCACGTCTATATTCCTGGCAAAACTACCTACAAGTAAAAGAATATAACCTGCCCCATAGAGCTACATATATTTTCTGTAGCCCTGTGTATTTTTCCATAGTGCTTTATAAAATATTAAGTTGACATTTCTGATGGTGATTAAGCTGTCATGAATTATATAAGATCAATGAAAGTTAAGTAAACCCAGAACCAAAGATGCCTATACATCTGTGGGAATTGCCGAGCCTACTTGGAAAACTCACCACTCTTCAAGGTCCAGATCAAATGCCACCAACCTCAGAAATCCTTCTCTACCCTCAGTCAGCAGATCTTTCGTCCCCCGTGTTGTGATTTCTTAGCTCACCTGTTTTCTGCATCATTTTCAACTCCACCCATGCGCTGCTTTGTTTTGTTCACATAAAAGGGTACTGTAATCTCCTTAAGAAGGGGGACCTTTCTATTTCGAAGCAAGTGTGTGTTTCCCACCCTGCCCAGCACAAGTAGAAATCCAACCACTATGTGTGTAATGGCATTTTCTCGTCTTGTTGATTACTCAACAGTGGATTCAACATTCTGTGCTGGGGATATGATGTGAAAAAGGAAGATGTGGTCTTCGCCTTTGATTAGAAACAATTACCCCAAGATTTCTTTCTTTCTTTCTATGACTATATGTCGGGAAGTAAAGAGGGAGACTGTAAGACACTGGAAAGGAGAAGAAAATGGGCGGCTAGAAGAAGCAGGATGAGCTTGTTGGAAAGTGCCCACATTGCTCCCTTCTCGTTTGTACAGTTTCAGAAGTTAAAACCATTGGTTCTGGAGTCCGCGCCCTGCCTGTGTTAAAATGCCCACTCTGTTTCTTTCTGGGTGACCTTGACTTAATTGAATCTCACTGAGGCTCAGTTTCTGCTATGAACAGAGTCAACCACATCAAGTTAGATGATGTTGGGTGCCTGCCTCACTGTATATACTTCCTATCAGTGGTTATTAATTTTATTATTGTTTTAGCTACTGTTGTCATTACATGCATGAGTCTGAGGGAGACCATGTCCAGGACTGCTTGGAATGGAGCCGAGACAGCCCGGCTGGCAAGTTGCTCAAAGGCTTCCTCTCTCAGGTGCTGGAGCAGGTCTCAGGCCCGGAACAACTCAAGGGGGCGCCGGAGGCTTTCCCGTCTGGACATAGTCTGACAGCTGGCCACCTCCCCTTGCCCACAGTGGGCCTTAGATGGGAACATGTGAAAGGAAAGATACATTTCTTCTCTTCTTTGGCCTCCTGGTTGTAAATGTACTAAGATCTGATGGGAAGAATCATGGTCAGTGTTTTGTAGGTTAAACTTTCCTGGCTAGAGATTTGTTTTCTCCAATACTAACACAATGGATTTTCTTTCCCCCTACCCTCTCTTGTTAATAGGGTGCTGAGAAAATTTTGTCAATGAATGAATCAGGAGAACTGCAAGACCTCTTAACCAAAATTGAGGTAATTGTGCTTTTAGCAACTTATTTTTAGTAATCAAAATATTAAACACATTTTGATTGTAATTAAGTTTTCCTAATTGAACTTTCCCATGTTCTTACACACATGTAAGAGGATACACATGGCCGTTTTAATTTGATGTCACCTGCCATTAAGTTTGCGCCAGTTACAGCGACTTAGTGTTAGCTTCTGACAACCTCATAGTGTTAGCTGAAAATTCCAGTCCGCCTTTTTTTGAGCCTAATTCTCTATAATAGAGGTGATGTTGATAATGTGTCACAAATCAGTCACTTGTCTTGAACACACTTAAAATTTTTCATTTAAATTATTTTATTTTTCTCATGGACCAGGTCATCATTTCTAAAGATTAAGAAAATTTATTTCTACAAAAGTGCACATTAAAATTTTATTCCTATACAGCATCAGAAAAATACTTATTCAAATGTACAATGCATCAAATCAATATGCAACTAGAAAGCCCTCAATACCTCTCTGTTAAGCTTATTTTTCTCTGTGTGTAGGAAGATCATATATTTTATCATGCAAACTGAGATACTTTGAGAGTACAAGGGCGCATCGATAATTATTCTGGGTCAGCAAACATGAACCTGGACTTTCCTAGGTGAACCAGGCAGTGTGCCCACCTGGGACCTAGTGTACAAGCCCTACCAGCTTGTCCTGGTCTAGTCTCCCTTGCTGACCTTGTTTTTGGTAGTCTCCCATTCCTTCCATGTCAGTGGAAACAAAGAACTCTCTGTGGTTTGTCACTACCATTCCTGTGTGTAGCTGTTCTTGCCTATAATGCTACTGTTCCAATGGCTCATTTCCCTCCCCATCCTCCAGGCCCGTCCGCACTACACTTCTTCCCCAGATCATTCCTGATCTCTTCCACCTTTGAATTCCTGTAACCCTCTTTTCATTGGGTGCTTATCAAAGTCTTTCGATTTTTGTATTACTTTTCTTTGGGTCTTTGATTCATGTTCCAAATGAACTATGTGCTCCTTGGTTTTAGGCATCATGTTTTATTCATATTATGACCTTGCCCACAAGGACAATACAAAGCGCGTGTGTACTTGGTAGTTGAAAATTCCTTTCAGCTCGGAAATCTGTATGGATGGAGTTAATTTCTCTCATTTTGTACCTGTACCTTACTCCAACCCCATGAAACCATTCATTTGGGTTAATATAATATTTTTATTTACATGAGTTGCATTGGTTCATGTGTATTATTTTCTGTGAACATTTTAAATGTATGTAAATGGTTTTATGGAATATATCTAATTTTCTTTCATATTATTTTCTTTAGGCACTGTGTTTTTAGGTAACATCTATATTGCTCTGTAAACATTTTCCATTTCTTCTAACTGCTGCCCAGTTCTTCATGACAGCACTGTTCCGCAGAACTTTCTTCACTGATGGGAGTGTTTGCACCTGTACTATCTCGAATAGTAGCCACTGGCTGCATGTGGCTTTTGAGCACTCAGAGTGTGGTTAGTGTAACTGAGACCTGCATTTTACATTTTACTTAACTTTTCTTGGTTTAAACTTAAATTCAAACAGCCTCATGTGACTGGTGCCTCCTGTTTTGGAGTGTCTGACTCCATGAAGCCCATCCACCTTTTTTTTTAATCCTCACCTGAGGATATTTTTCCATTTATCTTCAGATAGAGTGGGAGGGAGGGTGGGGGCAGAGAGAGAGGTTGATCGGTTGCCTCCCACAAAACCCTGACCAGGGCCAGGACTGAACTGCAACCAAAGTATGTGCCCTTGACTGAAATCGAACCTGCAACTCTGGTCGGAAGGCCGATACTCTAACCACTGAGCAATCTGTCAGGGCCCACCCACTATGTTTTATCTATTCTCTTTTCTACTGACAGGCACTCAGGTCCTCCAACTCCTCCCATCAAACAAACAGTGCTGCAAGGAACAACCTTGAACGTGCTTCCCATGGATTTCCCTGGGAGTAGAAATTGCTGGATCAGAGCTTATGCATGTATTTAGTTTTCCAGGAAGTTCCAGATGGCTCTCCAGAATGGTTGCACCGTTCAACACCCCTCCGGTAGAGAAAGAGGTTCCATATGTTCCCACATTCCTGACAATTATTTTACATTGTTCTCTAATTTACAGTTGTCTAATTTTTGCCAGGGTATTAGGCAAATTGCTTTATTGAGCTATATTGCTTTACTGTTTTCATTTATATTTTCCTGATTACCACTGAGTTTAAACATTTCATTTTACGCTTGTTAATTCTTCTGTAAATTGTGTATTCTTATACCTTGCCCATCAAATGTCTTACACTTGCCCTCTTTGGGGTTGATTTTCAGAAGGTCCTTCTATATTCTAGATGTTAACTTTTTGTTCATTTTAGTCATTGCAATGTTTCCTTCCCCTTTTCCAGCTTCTTTCATGGTGGTGTTTATCCAACAGAAATTGTCTAATATAATCAAAACCATCATTTTTCCTCATGTTTTGTGCTTTTAAGTTTGTATTTATGAAATACCCTTCCATTTTAAGGCCAGAAAGATATTGTCCAACATTTTTTTATATTACCTTTATAACTTTTCATATCTAGGTCATTAATTCATATAAAATCCAATTCAAATTTCTTACATAAGATAAGCCAGCTTCCCAACATCATCTACTAAATTATTGCTTTGTTGTGTCAATTTTATGTTATTGTAGGAAATCTCTGTATATACTTGGGTCTTTGAGCTCTCTAGTAAGTTCCACTGATCTAGTTGTTTCCTATGGTACCAATATCATCATATTGTTTTTATTTTTGTGGTTCAATAACAACTTTTAGATTCTTGCAAGGTAAATCTCCCTCATTACTCTTTTTAAAGATTGATGATTGACTTAGCTATTTATGGACTTTTATTCCATTGAGTCTGTAATTCTTTAATTCTGCAACTTAACACCAGGAAGTTATATTAACATAACCTATCTCTCTCTCTCAGTGCAAAAAATTTTGGAAAGAATATTTGTTTTCTTCATTAAGTCTGTTTCCTTCCATTCTACTGATGACATAAAGAAGGCACAACAGTTAAGACTAATATTAAAAAGAATGGTATGGTACTGACCTCTAATATTACAGGAGTTATAAGGTGCTGTCACTCTGTTGGTCTGCTTTGCCCATATGACCAAAGTAGTAGACACTTTGAAGCCATCCAAGAAAGCCCTGAACTCTGTCTGTGAAAGGGCTTAGATTTAAGATAAACTAACCCACATAAAGAGACTGGCCCTGGAGAATCAGTTGGAAGAGCCAAACAAAGTGGATAAGGGATGCGAGATTCAGATCCAAACCCATTTCATTCTTCTGGTTGGCTTTTGGCAATGAAGCAGGAGTTAAATATTCATGAGGTAGGAAACACTGGAGTCTTTACTACGTACCTAGTAATATTCTTGTTATTTTATGTATGAAGTCTCTGAACTCTCACAACAACTCTGCAAGATGGCTTCTATTATTATCCTCATTTTATAGACAAGGTAACAGAGGCACAGAGTATTAAATCACTTGCACATGACCTTAGAAATCATGTTCAATTAATGATTCTAATCAGGCTGAGTCCAAAGCTCATGATCTTAACCATGAATCTATGCTGTCATCACTCTTGAATTAAGTTTCATGTAGGTTTCTGGGAAATCTGACCATATGTGGCAGGACCCAAGGCCTAGGGGAATAGTTTACTGGGAGGTAGACAGAGTATTGCGTCCAAGGAACAGACTGGGTTTTAACACTGGGCTCTGATTCTCAGGGGGCATCATGGAAGATGTGCAAATTGATGATAACTTTAGAGAGAAACCTGACAGGTCCTACCAAGTTCCAATTTGTTGTTACTTGGGTGCTTGCTACATAGTGGACTTAACTGCTCTGGTCCTCATAATTCAGGTCCCAGTTTTCAGTGGTAATCCCAGTGATGGTGAGGAAAGAGGCTAACAGTCACAGTTGGGCAATCAGAAAAGGTGTCAGCAAATAATTTTGAGTTTAAAAATCTTGGCATACATCTCTCCCAAGTGAAAATTGCTCTAGGAAGCTGAGTGGGTCTGTTTTGTTGATGAAGATTGTCAGTGGCCTCTAACACGAGGTGCTGGCCAAAGGCAATAGAAACAAATGAAGTATGGTGATAGCCGTTATGTGACTCGGGTTCAATAAGGCCAGCTGTGCCAGTGCAGGCTCTGTGCCTGAGACAGTCACAGGGACCCTCCAACAGAATGTGAGCCCCATGTGAACACAGATTCTTGTCCATTTTGTTCTATTCTTTACCTCTAATGCCTAGAACAGCGATAGGCAAATAATGGGCACCTAGTAAATATTTTTTTGAATCCTTTTTCATCCAAAGTGTTTCTTGACAAGGCAAAGCAGTTAATTGACGAAAAAGAGGAGAAAAAGTAGGAGAATACTTGGGCAAAAAGAATAAATAGAAACACCACCACTTTTTGCTAACATTTATTTATTGTTATAGTTATGTATTTATTTATATTAATAACAGGCTAAAGGTTAGAAGCAAAGAGGTAAGTAAGGATTTCCCCAAAGCAGTAACCAAGAAGGATAGCTATCCTGCTGGGGGCCACACAGAGAGAGCAAGGGAGTCTAAGGGTATTAACAAACACCTTGTCGTGGCAGGTACTAAATTAAAGTTTTCTGTTAGTAGAACTTGTTTTATTTGTTTTTTAAAATATATGAGAAAACATTTTGTGTCATTTCTAGTGAGATTGCCAACATAGTGTCTATTTTCTGCACTTTTTTCTTGTAAAGCTTGACTCTCCCCTGAGGACTGGGGACTATTTGTTGTTCATGTAGAATAGGTAAGATGCCCAGCACCACGCTGAGGATGCTGAGCATGGCACAGGCTGTCTGTACAAGGCGTTGGAGTTGCTCCATTCTGGATGACAGCCCCTCCCAGGGGGGATGGCCACAGCATGTTCCGAGACTACAGCCTCAGAGCACCACCTACTCACTGGGGAAATCAGGCCATGTGCTCAGTCTGCCGCTCTCTGAAATCTGAACATCTTTTTAAGTAGGTTTATGGCAGTATATCCCACTGGGTTCAAGAATCAGACTCATACATTCAGGCTTATCCACGTAGTATCGTAAACTACAAATTTCCTCTGTGTCTGCATTTTGTTTGGTGGCTTCTTTCCCAAATCTACAAATTGAGGATGCTAGAAACTCTAATTATCAGGGAAGATTCTGTTTATTAGCAGCTAGGTCAGACAGAGAGGTGTTTATTAGGCACTTAACAAGCATTTTCTGAATTAAAATGTTGAGTATAGTTTAAAGCAAAATATGTAGACAAAGCTGAATCATCCAGAGATGATTATATGTCAAGTGTGCACTCTGACAATTTGTTTCATGGATTAGGTCTGCATCATAGACAATCTGCATGGTGAGGTTTATGGTCACAGAAACTCAGATAAATTGCTTCCTCTTTGGTAGAATACTAAAAGGACTTTCAAACTCCTCCAGAATAGGACTAGATGATCTGGGGTTAAGAATAAGAAGTGCATTTATTTCTTAATCTTAAAAAATACATTGAAGATTATTGCTCCTAGCATCCTATTTCTGTATTAGCTAGCAGAAAAAACTTTGTATTTCTGAAATTTGAGATTTTGCTACCAAAAAATCCATTTGACTACCCTTTATGAACTCCATGCTTGGATACTTGGACCTTTGGTAGAGATTTGGGAGTTCCTGTTGCTGCAGCTCAGATGACTGCAGTGTGGAGTGTACCCAGTGGAAGATCTAAGGCGGGGCTAAGAGCTATCTTTAAGAGAAGAGGGACGAGTCTGTTTCACTGCTGTATCCCCAGTGCCTTGCACAGTGCCTGGCACATGGACACCCAGAAATATTTGTGGGGTGAATGAATAAGTCTTACCTATTGAGTATCTATTTTTAAAAAGTCTTTCTCCAAGAATATGTAAACAGAAAGAGATAAAAAAAGAGGATGCCTTTACACTTCTTTTTTCTTGAATTGTACTCCAAAGGGACATGCTTCTACCCAAACCACTATTCAGAGGGGTGAGTCTGTGGACTGCATGCTCTGAGTGCTATTCTCAACTAGGTCTGCGTGGTTCTCACTCTGCTGGACACATGACACTGAAGAGCTACCCTAGGTTCCTTAGTCGCTTCAAGGTCAGAGTCCTGTAGTACACCTCTTCATTGAAAATGTTTTGTTGCTAATAATAATGACTAATGTTAAGTTCGGTTATTTCTCCTTTTTCCAAGCTAAGTTTTGGGGGAATTTCTTAGCTCATTTCACATTTTTCCTGAGGGCAAAACTGTCCATGGAGGGACTGGACTCAGGACATGGGAACATCTGATATAAGCCACCTTCTTTTCTCTGTGAAAACTCTTTAAGATGGAACCAGAGTTCCGGTGTAATAGGAGTGCTCTGAAGGAGATGGCTAGGACTTGTTTATTTTTATTAGAAAATCAGATGCAATAGATTGTACTGGGTGCTGTGACAGGACCGGGGATCCTGGAGGCGCATGGAGCATTGGGGGAGCTTCGAGTGGCCCAAAGCCCCCCTCCCCATTTCCGCTTTAGTCAGAGCATTTATCCTCTTAGCTGTTTTAATCTTGGGAATCCTATGCAATGTTTTATTTTGGAAAAAAAATGGATGTAAATAAAGGTTGAAACTACTGTTAAAGAGAAAAGACAATGGCTTTTGGTCTTGAAGAGAGTTCTTTAATTTCTAGTTGTTTAGTACCCCTGCAACTTGAACATTATTATTATCTCTTTTACCCATTTAGAGGCTTTGGTTCCTCATTTGTAAAGTGAGGTTGGGTGAGAATTGGGCATAGCCATCCTTTCCAAGTTTGAAACAGCTAACTTGTTTTAAGAATGGAAGTGGCCTTATAATCTCTCCAGCACTGTACTCCAAGCATGAGAATTCACACCTGAATTACAACACATTTACTCTCCCTCAAGACCTTAAACCAAAAGACTAAGTATAGAAGACATATTTAAACAAAATGACTTTAAGAATAATAGAAAATGGTTGTGTCATATGACCACAATTTAGCTTGAGGCAGCAGTTCATAAAAATCCCTTCAAATAAGGATTTAGTCATGAAATAATACCTAGCAATGACTAGCTTTATTGAGTAGTTACTATGTGCCAGGCAATATTCTATTAATTTTTTATGAATCAACTCATTGAATTCTCTCAACAGCTCTTTGAGTAAAAGACAGATCTCATAATAGCATTGCATGGATTCTGATGACATTATTTTAGGATGACCTATGTCCATTTGTGATTCCCTTTAAAATGACCATTTTGCTTTCAATATTCATATATTAATTTAATTTTAGAAAAAAGTTTTCTCGGACTTGTGGAAGAGCTTTGAATCTCTGCAAACTTGACAGAGTTCCTTGTGTGTGTCATTCAGATCGGCAGCCCTTGCTTTTCCTCAGAGTAAAACTGTGCCACTAAAAACGAGCTATTACATGGATTTTCCATCTCGATACAACCGCTAAGCCAAATGGTAATTGCACATGGATCTTGCAGAAAATGCATAGCTGAAAGTGGTCTGGGAACATATACATTTTAAGGCAATCTTATCTTTATTGTTTGTTTCCCAAAGTACATTCCACTATGTAGTAATTAGGAGAGAATTACAGTTGTTTCCTGGGACGGGGTTCATATAATTGTTTGTGCTGGAGAAATGGTGGGTTAAACACAGTTACTCAGGTTTTTTTCAGTCATATTTTTTGGAAACTTTTATACCTGCCATTGTGAATCTCCAGAGAAAAACTGTGTGGATGTCCAGTGTGTGTGTGTGTGTGTGTGTGTATGGACCCACGTTTCCCAGCCTTATTTTACCCATTATTCTTGTTTCAAAGCTGGGCTTTCAAACATTGCTGCAAATTCCTATTTTGCAAGTCAGAAGCTTGGTAGGCACTCGCTTTCTTATTTTCCCTGCATTCATTTTATAATGGCTCCTAATCGTTCCCAGCTGAGGGAGGCCGCTAGTGAACTCTGGCACGAACGTGAGCACAAAGGCAAATAGAAATGTGTGTGGATAGTTTTCAAAATATTGTCCTCAACACTCGGCCTACTTATCTTCATTCTATTATCAGGGTTCTTTATCTTTACTTGAGGTGGAGAGGCTGATAGCCACTGTGTGAAGCTTTACAGACTTAGGTAAATGTCTTAAAATTTTTATGTCTGTTCTTCAAATATAAAATAAAGAATAAGTTGCTTGAATTATCTGCATTAAAAAGGGGGGAGGAGGGAATCAGTGGGTGAAGAGGGGGAAACATCTGTAACACAAATAAATTAATTAATTAAATTAAAAAAGTCTGTGTGTGTGAAAGGAGTTGTGAGGGAAGTTTCTATAATAATGCATTTAAAGTGCTCTTTAAAAACAAAACATATTCAGATGTGCAATATACAGTTGAATCTCCAGTTAGTGGCTCCTCCGCACTTCAGCCTTTAGTTTCTGACCTTCCAGATTCACTATTATTGATACTATTCTGTAAACAAAGACATAAAACTGTTGAGATATTAGAAAGCTACAGTATTTCCCTTTAATGCAAACCTCCATCTCCTGAACTGTTTGGTTTGTAAATATGTGTTTTCATATGATGGCTTTCTCTAAATGTGTGCCCTTTGACCTAAAATGCACCAAGCTTTGCCCGGCCATGTGGCTCCGTAGTTGAGCATTGACCCGTGCACCAGGAGGTCAGTAGTTTGATTCCAGGTCAAGGCAAATGCCTAGATTGTGAGCCAGGCCCCCAGTGGAGAGCATGCAGGAGGCAGCCAATCGATGTTCTCTTTCATTGATGTTTCTATCTCTCTCTCTCTCTTCCTTCCTCTCTCCCTCAAATCAGTAAAGAAAAAAAAAATGCACCAAGCTTTATAAATTAAGCTCATGTTATTGATGGCCATCAGTGGGACAATGACGGAAACTTCAGCCAGCTTTCCCCAGGTCTGGTTCTAGTAATATACATATATGTATGTGTATATATCTATCTAATACATAGCCATGTTATGCCAATACTTTTTTTATGACCATCAACAGTACAGAAAGACAGGAAGGCTGATTGAGTTGTCCATGCTAACACATTTCCTGTTCTCTCTTGTCCCCTTGCCGCCCTACACAGAGAGTGCAGCATCCTCACGAGTGTCCTTCCTGTGGGGGCTTCGGCTTTCATCCCTGCTCCGTGTGCCATGGGAGCAAGATGTCAGTGTTTCGAAACTGCTTCACAGACTCTTTCAAAGCCCTGAAGTGTACAGCTTGCAACGAGAACGGTCTTCAGCGCTGTAAGAGCTGTGCTGGTTAGGCGGAGCTTCCCCCAGGGAGGGCCTCGTTTTATTAACCGAGGCAATCATTTGCTTTATACTTTTTTTTTTTAAATGGTCACGTTTATGGATTAATCAATAAACTTTGTTTATTATAATTGCCTTTGTTTTGAATTTTTACTGTGACCATTTTCTATTTATTTATGAAATAAATGTTTATTTAACAACTATTATGTGCCAAGCCTTGTGCTAGATCCTGGTTTCTAGTTGGAATTACCCAGTACCATTCCCAGACAGCTACAGCCTGACTTCGTAAGTGGTTTTTGTTTCCTAAGGAAAACACAAAATACATCTATTTAATGGTGCTTTTTGCAATGTCTCCTTATTGATGAGTTAATTCAACTCGCCAGGTATATGTAACACATTGCTCTGTGTGTCCCGGCTGCAACGAAGAGAGAACTCTGGATAGTGGGAAAGAATATGATCACATTTATTCTTAGATGGTAAAGTTTTTATTACGTTTTGGAACAGATGATATTAATGAGAAATAATTAATGTTATCAGATGGATTTCTTGGTAATGATAAAAAAGCTGCCAGAAGACTTATCTGGACTTATTTTCTTTTCAAGCATCTGCTTTGTGCTGTTGTCACAGAAAGTCCTCCGGAAGGGCTGCTGCTGCCGTCCTCTTGAGCTGGGCACAGAGAACTACAGTTTGAGCACATAGTAGGCAATGAGAGCAAGGTGGACAGAGGGAATTTTTCTGTAATTATTGGCTGATTCCTAACTGTACACACATCTGTACTCTGATAAATTTCATAATATTTATAATAAGGCCATCAAAATATTATGTATCTTGGTTTTATAAAAAGCTGTAAATATTTACCAAATACTTCCTAATCAGCTAGGCAGGCACAGTATACAGTATAATTTCTGCTTTCATGGTGCTTACCCTCTAAGGAGGAAAGAAGTATTAAATAACTAAGCAGGATGAGTCTCATAAATACTAAATGAAACAATGTGCTATGGGAAAGTATAGCCAAAGGAAAAACCTAGATGAGTTAGGAAATGGTAAGAAGAGACTGTTGAACAACTGATTTTTAAACAGACATGAAGGGTAATTGGGAACTAGTTAGTCAAAGACAAAGGGATAGTGCTTCAGGTAAAAGATAGCATATGTGGAGACTCTGCGGTCAGAGAAAAGGTGTATGTTTGAGGGACTGCAAGAAATCCAATGTGAGAAATTTCAGTCTGGACATAGTGGAACAGCACATGGCAAACGGAGCCCACTGTTGATAACACATTTGTCGTGAACTAAATAGTAAAAAGTAAACAACTGTTCAAGGCATTGGAAAGCAACTAAAAATAGAATCAGAAAGGGATTCGATCACTAGACAAAGAGAAACACAATGAACCCCACATTTACCCAGCTTATCCCTGAGAGCACTCCCCAGTTTACACTGAATATAGCTCATAAAGAAAGTGTGTTGAAATTACAGACTTCTTTAAAATGTTGTCATCCAATTCACAAACATGGTAGAATTCTCTGTGTATTTGGATTCTCTATAATTTCTAGGCAAAAACTGCATTGTACTTTTAAATGTGAAAATGTTATACATCTTTTGTAAATGCATTCCCTGTACTTGATTTTTTCTGATAGTATTATAAATTGTATTATTTTAGTTTTATATTCGAAGTGTTTGTTACTTGTATACTGTATTTCTAATTTTTGTCTACTGACTTTGAATTCAACAATTTTGTTAGCTTCACTTTGAGGTTTAACAGTTTGTAGATTCCTTTGGATTTTCTACATTCCAATTGTGTTATTTACAAATAATGTGCTTAATTTTTTCCCAGTCTTTATGACTTTTGTTCTTGCCATATTTCATTAACTAGGACCTCCATCACAATGTTGAATAGAAGTGATGAAAATCAGCATTAATATACTTTTCCTGAAAAAAAATAAATGTTGGAATTTGGGGCTGTAGCATGCCTGGAATTGAGTGGGAAATTCTAAGAAATGAGAGAATCAAAGATGAGTCCCCAAATCTGCTCATTAATTTCCCGCAAATCCTTGGCTGATTCCTAACTTACATATACAGAGTGAATCCTGGGACCAAGCAATTCTCAGACACCACCTGGGTATCCTACAATTACACTCAGTTCTGAGACTATTTATCTGAAGATGGCATCAGATCCCACAGGTTAAGGACTCTGTCCTATAAGACTGCCCTCCCTCCCCATACACTTGCTACCTGTGCTTCCAACCAACTGGCTACAGATCACAAATCCCTCCTTGAGTTTGATAAATTTGCTAGAGTAGCTTACAGGACTCAGAGAAACATTTTGCTTATAGGTCACAAGTTCATTATAAAAGAACATGACTCAGGAACTGCCAGATGGAGGAGATACATAGGACAGGTATGGGGAAAGGTGCAGAGCTTCCACGCCCTGTCCAGGTGTACCACTCTCCCCGAATTTCCATATGTTCATCAACCCAGAAGCTCTCAGACCCTGTCCTTTTGGGGTTTTGTGGAGGCTTCCTTACACAGATGTGATTGATTTAATGATTACCCATTGGTGATTGATTCAGCCTTCAGTCCCTCTCTTGTCCCCAGAGATCAGAGTGGGACTGAGCATTTCAACCCTCTAATCATATGGTTGCTTCTCCTGGCATGTGGCTCCCAAACTTAGGTGAGGTCCAAAAGCCACCTCAATGACAACAAAAGGCCACTTTATGCTTTTATAACTTAGGACATTCTATGCAATTTTAAGGAGTTTTGAGCTAGAAAATGGGATGAAAACCAAATATATATTTCTCTTTATAAATCACAACTACACAAAGGAAATAAGTAGCTTAAGAACCCGAACAGTTGAGCTGAGAATTCAGTAGCTGCCTGTGTTGCAAAGTCAGTTTGGCCTTCACAAGGAAACACATGAATATTCCCTTGAAATCTCAGAAGGGGCCATCTTTAGAATAAGGCCAGAAATTAAGGGCTGTGTTGTAGAACTACAGACACATACACAACAGACCTTCCCTTAGAAAGCATAAAACCAAACTTCCATGGTATCATGGTTATCTTGTAGTGTGTGACTATTTGTTAAAACAAAACTCAACACTCAAGTGGGGAATAGAAAGTAGCTTGTTGAATAGGAAAATCTACAGCTAACATAATACTTAATGGTATGTACAATATTAAATACTTTCTCCTTAAGATCAGGAAGAGTGCATAAATATTCACTTTCATCATCTCCATTCAACATTGTGATGGAGGTCCTAGCTAGTAAAATAAGGCAAGAAAAAATGTCATAAAGATTGAAAAAAATAAAGCTCATTATTTGTAAATAACACAATTAAAATGTAGAAAATCCAAAGGAGTCTACAAACTGTTGAACTTCAAAGTGAACTTAACAAAATTATTGAATTCAAGGTCATTATATAAAAATTAGAAATATAATACACAAGTAACAAACACTTAGAATATAAAACTAAAATAATACAATTTATAATACTTTCAGAAAACATCAAATACATGGAATACATCTTACAAAAGGTGGGTAAGATTTCTACATTTAAAACTGCAGTGCAGATTTTGCCAAGAAATTATAGACAATTCAAATACATGTTTACATTAAATGAAATCTCAATTAAAATCCCACCAGATGTTTTGTATAATTAACCAATAATCCTAAATGTATATGAAAATGCAAACAATCTAGAGTATCCAAGAACATTTTGAACAAGGAGAGTAAAACAAGTATAGACAAATAGATCAATGAAATCTAAGAATATACAGAATTGGATGCTCAACAGGTCAATTATTTTTCAAGAAGGATGGCAATTCAAAGCAATAAACAATGGAAAGTCTTTGTGACAAAGGGTGCTGGAAACTACCAGATTCCTACATGAAGAAAAATGACTGTGAAAACGACTACCACCACCACCATCACCACTATTGTTACTGGCGTCTAATGGCTGGAGGCCAGTGATCCTACTAAGAATCCTACAAAACACAGGGCTACTCCTCACTTCCAAAAAGGGTGATCCAGTCAAAATGTAAATAGTGTCAAGATTGAGAAAATCTGACCTAAATGTTAGAGCTAAACCAGGAGAATATCTTCACCATGTTAGGGTTGGCAAAGATGTTTGAACAAGCCATAAGAGCCTTAGCTACAGAAAATAATAAATTGGACTTCATTAAATTTAAAATCTCATTAAAATACATTATTTATAAAATGCAAAGGGAAGCCACAACTGGGAAGATATATTCACAGTACAAATATCTGCCAAAGGACTTACATCTAGGTAATTTCAAAAACTCTGAAAAATCAGTAATAAAGACAATCTAATTTAAAAAAGTAGGCAACAGTCACTTCATAGAAGAAGACATACGGATGGCTAAAATTGTAGGGAAAACATACATCACTACTCATCATGGAATGCAAATTAAAATCACCATGTGATATTACTACATTGTATTTAGAATGGCTAAAATTAGAAAAGACTGAAAATGTAAAGTGTTGGTATGGATGTGGAGTGAACTCTTGTACATTGCTGATGAGAATATTAAGTGGTACAACCACTTAGGAAAACCATTCGACAGATTCAATGAAGGTAAACGTACACTAATTATATATTCAACAGTTTTACTCCTAGTCCTTCTTGGTTGTTTATTCAAGAGAAATAAAAACATGTATCCACAGGGTAGAAGAGTTTCATGGAAGCTGTACCATTAGTAGCCAAAAAAGTGGAAAGATCTCAAATGCCCACTGACAGGAGAATTGGTAAGCAATTGTGATGTATTATCACAAGGGCACAGCACTAGCCATCAAAAGGAATACACTATTAATTCTAGCAATAACATGGATGAATCTCAAAAAACATTATGTGAATACACTCAGCCGAGCACAGAGACTTTGTACTATGATTCTATTTATACAGAGTAGGAGCAAAAATAGGCTTACAGTTGTTTGTATGGAAATAATACAATAGTTAACAAATAACAATACAAGAATAAACTCTGTGTTTCAGGTACTCACAACTGTACGCCTATGTTTGCCCCATTCTGTAGGAAGCTATAAAATAGGCCAAAATTAATCTATAGAATAGTCATCTCAAAGGCAGGAAAAAGCAGGAGGAGAAAATCAAATCTGAAGAG